CGGTTCTACGTTTGTCCACGGCAAAGTCCGTAGTAACACTTTTGACATAACTCATCAGTCATCACCGTTAAATTACCTCCGTTTCACTCAACAAGGCAAACTTCAAGATGAATGTGAAACGGGAAAAGCAAAAACGAAAAAGAATAACTTTTACATCCGGATGTCAAACATTCACTCTGCGCATAGTGTAAGAAGAACATGAGATGACCGTTCGTAAACAAACAACTAGCAGCTGGTAGCCTCTAAAGATGGAGCAATCAAATAACTTATGGTGGGAGTCATCATTAATTACCATGAAATGTTGGTGGGAGCGTGAGATATACATAGAGATCTAACACGAAAACAACCCCAACCAGAGTGACAGCCTAATGCAGAAACAATCGTATCGTGATTTGAGTTCGAACCGCGCAGCTGCCGACAGACACAGATCCGAATCATCGCGTGATCGATCGATCGATTCACTTCCGTCACATTTCTTTGTTTCTTTGTTTTTACTAACTTGCTTCGTCATTTTCAGACTTTAAACTCATATCTACTGTCATTGTTACTTTAAATACGTTAAACAAAATCCGAAGAAGAAGCACAAGTGAAAACGCTCACGGCGCAATTTCATTCTTCTTCCCTCGAAAAGTTGAAGAAAGCAGTGCTATTTCAGAGGCTGTTCCTTTTCTTCTTCTTCTTCCTCAATTTGTTGATGCGGCAATAGCACGGGGATTCTGATGAGGCGACGGTCGTTTGAACCTCGAAACAGAACATCCAAGAGAAGATACTCAAAGCTGGGATGGCTGATATTTTGCGCAATCTTGACCCTTCTCCTCGTAGCTCTCTTCACTCGTAAAAACCCTTCTCCTTCTACGCCTTCCTTGCTTCAGGTACTCGCTCTTCCTCTTTTCTTCTTTCAAAGTTTAATTGCATGTCATTTTCGGAGATTCATTCTCAGATCATTGCCCAAAATGCTGTCACAGTTTCTGTGTTCGTGTACATTTTGTATACAAATTCATCACCATCCATTTAGCCCTCAGATTTCGAACCATCCTGGAACAAATATCCTAAATTTTCTTCTCTTACGTTTTCTCTTGAAGTTTTGCAGAAAATGATGATCTGTGAGCTTGTTCTCAAGATGTTTGTTCTGTCCAAAATGTTACTTCGTCCTATGTTAGTGCAATATATTGGCTTTTTTAGGGGGGGGGGGGGGGGGGGGGCTTAACTTGAATATTTTGAGGTTTTATTTGAGTCCTAATGATAAACCATGGCTTGAAAAGGAGATAAATTTGCCGACCCTAGGCTATGAATTTGAACACTTTTTAACCATCTGTTTCTGTGAATAGTAATGAAAAAGGAATGTTTCTTCTCATGGTTCACATCTTCGGAGTAACATTTATTAGTTTTCTTTTAGAAGCTTAATGCTGTTACAAAATTTTAAAAGTGAACAAAAGACTAAATGTAACCCATAAGTGTATTTAATTTGAATTGAAGAAATCAAGGTGGTATATGAATGTAATTGAATCATACAATGACAATGAGTTGCTAAAATTTCTGGATCAAATCATCAACTGAGTTTCACTTTAATTGACGCTTGAGGAAACTATGGAATTTTATTTTCAAAATCAAGTTTTAACTTTGTACTCTGGCAGTTCTTTAATATTTTTATCATGGATGTCGTGCGAAAGGCTTTCTATCAATATTAAATTATTCCATATCTGAAAATCAGATTTGGTTTATGAGAAGAATACATTTTAATAGCTGGATTTGATTAAGCATGATAGAATGCTGCCTTTCGCTAGGATTGGTATAGTGACATTTTTGCTTTCTAATGTTTGATGTAGATCAAATGAGTTAAATAACTATAATTATAACTTATGAGATTGTGTAGACATAAAATGTTGAATCTTCCCTTGTTTATCTATGGTATCTTAACTTGAGTAATGAGTACATATAATACTGATGTTCTTATGTAACTTAACGGCCAGGGCTATAATAGACATGGTATTTTTGCTCTATAATATTTGGTGTATCTATCAATAGATTGATAAAATGAGTTAAATTACTATAATTATAACTTATGAATTGAAATAGTGTAGATATAAAATGTTGAATCTTTCCTTGTTTATCTATGGTATCTTAACTTGGGTAAATATAATACTGATGTTCTTATGTAACTTAACTGCCAGGGCTATAATAGACAAAACAAACTTTTGGAAGCTCTGAATGTCACCGATGAAATGTTAAGCCCTTACTCGGTAGCAAGGCAAATTAATGATCAAATCTCTCTTGCCAAAGCCTTGATTATAGTTGCAAAAGAAAGCAATAACCTTCAGCTTGCGTGGGAGATGAGTGCCAAGATCCGTAAGTCTCAACTTCTCCTATCAACTTCAGCCACTAGGAACAGTCCCTTAACAATGAAAGAGTCAGAAACAGTGATCCATGATATGGCACTCTTGCTTTGTCAAGCCCAACAACTTCACTATGATAGTGCAACAATGATTATGAGATTGAAAGCCAAGATTCAAACCCTTGAGGAACAAGTACATTCCGTGACTGAGAAGAGCTCTAAATATGGACAAATAGCCGCTGAGGAAGTTCCAAAGAGCCTATACTGTCTGGGCATAAGGTTAACCGTTGACTGGTTCAGGGATCCCCAAGTGGGGAAGAATTTGGTCACCGGAAAGCTTGAGGACACAAACCTTTATCATTTTTGTGTGTTTTCTGACAATGTGCTTGCAACTTCTGTCGTTGTGAACTCTACAGCTTCAAATGCGAAGAATCCCAATTCAATTGTCTTCCATATTGTGACGGATGAAGTAAACTATGCCCCCATGAGAGCTTGGTTTTCTATGAACTCATTCCGTGGTGTGACAGTGGAAGTTGAGAAATTTGAGGATTTTGTTTGGCTAAACGCCTCTTATGTTCCTGTTCTCAAACAGTTGAAAGACTTGGACACCCAAAACTATTACTTCTCTGGGAGTCATGGTAAGGACAAGACTACCCCTATCAAATTCCGTAACCCAAAGTATCTTTCGATGCTTAACCACCTCCGGTTCTACATTCCAGAAGTTTTTCCGAAACTAGAGAAGGTAGTGTTTCTTGATGATGATGTTGTGGTTCAAAAGGATCTTGCTCCCTTGTTCTCTGTTGATCTGAATGGGAATGTGAACGGAGCCGTTGAGACTTGCATGGAGACCTTTCATAGATACCACAAATACTTGAATTACTCCCACCCATTGATCCGCGAGCATTTTGACCCGGATGCATGTGGGTGGGCATTTGGAATGAATGTTTTTGATTTGGTCGAGTGGAGAAAGAGGGACGTGACCGGAATATACCACTACTGGCAAGAGAAGAATGTTGACCGGACACTGTGGAAGCTGGGGACCTTGCCACCTGGACTTTTAACATTCTACGGCTTGACTCAAGCTCTAGATCCCAATTGGCATATTTTGGGACTGGGATATACTAATGTTGACTCACAGTTGCTCGAGAATGGAGCGGTTCTGCATTTCAATGGGAATTCCAAGCCATGGTTGAAGATCGGGATGGAGAAATACAAACCATTGTGGGATAAGTATCTTGATTATTCGCATCCCATATTGCAGCAATGCAATGTGCATTGACTTGGGGTATGATGTTGGTTAGTGTACATTCATTCGTATGATGAGGTATTCTCACTTGATTATTAGCCTAGATCAGTACTGGAGGGTCGAAACAGATTTTGTTGGAAACACGTTCTTTTTTTGTTGTACCTTAGAATTAATCAAAAAATTATTAAAATGTGACTCAGATAGATTCATGAGCATATGCATTCCGTTTTGGTTGATCATATTTTTAACCCGTTTCAGGTTGATATTTGTTTGTGGCTAAACAGAAGTTTTAATGGCTTTTTTTTTGTACTGAAATTTTACGCAAAAGTTCTTGCTGATGTGCGGTTTACATTTGTAAACATAATTCTGAATGGTTGGCCAATCATAGGCCGTCTGGAAGTGTTTTGAGTCAACAGTCATCCTGCAGGAGTTTAGGGAAGGCAATGAGTTCTCCACACTAACTTTGGCCTAGCCGCCTAGCTAGCTGATGACACACTCACCTTTGCAGCGCTATGGCTCCATGTTTTGGTTCTTTGTATCAAGCCACTGGGTTAGTTAATGGTAATGGACCTCTTCTATGTACCCTTTTGGCCCCGGGCCATTGTCAACCTTGATAACTCTGTTGCTGACGATGTCAAGGTGTATATGTATGCCACTTACGAAGAGAATAACTTGTGGATTTTCCCCCTTTTACTGGTATTTCAACCAAACAAGGGAGGTTAGATGCCTCTCAATTCTCAAACCCAGACCATTAAGCTCGTCCCTAGGTTCTACAATATTCAACTAAAGTATTGGAAACAATCTGCAAACCATAGCAGGTTCGTTTAACGAGCAACAGAGTTAAGATGGAGATGAGTTTACCGATTTCTGCTAATAAGATTCCCTTTATAAGTCAACTGACTGACAATCCAACAGATCGTATTTACTTCCCTCACAAGTAGGCATGGACTCGGGCCGGGTGGCCCGAACCGGCAATGTTTGGAACCGACCCGAACCGGTGGTCCGGCCAGGGACCGGCCCGGGTAGGCCCGGCCCGGTGGTTTTACGGTGCGGGCTCGGGTCACCCAATAGACGAACCGGCCGGGCCCGGTTCCGGGCCTTTTTTTTTTCTTTTCATTTTTTTTTTATTTTTCTGGGTTGGGCTGGGTGCTTTGGGCCATTTGGGGTGGTTTGGGGGGTGGGGGTGAGGGGGGGGGGGGTCGGGGATTCATTAGAAAAGTAAAAAAAAAGGAAGTGGCTTGAGGCCCGGCCCGACCCGGACCCGCCGGCCACCCGGGCCGGTTCCGGTTCACCCATTCTCAAATAAAAGCCCATCCGGGCACCAGCCCGGCCCGGGTCCACCCCTACTCACAAGGCTTGGGTCGTGTTTGGGGGTCAACCCTGACAATTCCAGCATATTTGGATTTCAAATATTTAACTTTCCGACAACACTATTATGTACATATCGAGTACAAACTGTACATGTTGGCGCCTTAATTTGAGTATAAAAAAACAAACATCCAGTTAGAACAGAAACCAAAAATATAAATGGACATGATCCCCCTGGTTTCTTTCTTTGACAAATTCATTTATTTATTATACCATTTGATTCCTCCTAGGAAGTGAGACGAGTTATTCAAAGCTGAAAAGATTTGCTCCTTTCCCCACCATGTCGTCCTTTTTTGCCGTCTATCTTTAGAATGCTGCTCAAGCTTGCGCAGTTTGGCCCTTGTCTCCCTTAACCTCTCCTTAAAGTCTTCCTTCCATTCGCAAAACTGAATTTTCAGTCTCTTCAGCTCTGCTTCAGGAATAGATGTGGGCTGCCCTTTGAGCTGAACGACTCTTTCCGCCTCACCATCGAATTTTTGTTTATTGACTTCAAACTCCTTCACAAGGTGACTCACCGCAAGGAAGCCACCAACACCCTCTTGAACAGACTCAGCCGCATCAGTTTCATAGTCGGTAGATCTCATTGAGGCGCTTCCTGCTCCAGTACCCATAGATAGGCTTCGTGTAGATTCATACGAGTGAGAAAGTTGTGAAGAAGCCAGCAGAGTATTGCCACCGACAGTAAGACACTTGGCTAGAGCAAGCTTTGCCTGTTTCAGCACATGGTAGTACCAGATCTCAACTTTTTTGAAGCAAAACTTTTATACATGTAAGTTAATTACAACAACAGACTGCAGTGTATCTCTAAACCACATCCTCTGTTATAAATAATATAGTCTTGTTTCGATAGGTAAAACGGTAAAACCTTTTTAATTTTAGCAAGGTAAATCCTATTGAAAATCATCAAGCCTAGCTATATTTTAAATTTATTATTTTTTGGTTGAAATAAATTCAATATATACCAGGTAGAACGCAATAATAACTAGACAGCATCTCACCTGCAAAGATGCCATTTGTTTTTGCCACATCTCCACTGAACCCATCTTGGCTTCATATTCTGATAGTCGATTCTCAAATTGTTTTATTTGTTGTCTCAAAGCTACATTTTCTTTTTCCTTCTGCTCAATGGTCGCCTCAGCCCTGTGAACCTGTTTTTGAAGCTCCTCCAGAACATAAGGTAGAACTTCTGAAGGCAAATCCTGTGAAAAAGATTGTTAAACAGAGAAATATTTCAAGTGAAGAGAAATATAAATGTATAATCAATTTCCTTGTTTTTCTTTCCAGTCATATCATATAATAAGGTCTTCTTCCTCATTAACAGAGTTCTCCTAAGTTTAAATTCGAGTCATAGCATAGAAGAAATTTTATGGTGATTGGTGAAACTCCGGTGCTCATTTTAGAAAATAAAATGAACAGCCCAAAACAAGAATCCCAAACTTGCAACCTTATGCAATTTTGTAAATCCAAAAAGCCTGTTAGGAGGAAAAGCATATCAAGATTTTTTACTCTTTCAATTAGAGAGAATTTGAGGTAAGAGAGTGTTAAATATTAAACCAATTGAAGCTGTATTTCTTTTTTGTTTCTTTAAACCATACAGTACCTTCACCCCCGAAATTCTCATGCTTGCATTTTGCTGGTTGAGAATTGACTTTTTCAGACCCCACAGGCTACCAAAATGTCTTCTAGACAAGAACCCACGTATTGCTGCTGGGGGAAACAGTTGGCCCATTAAAAACTACATTTTATACCAAAAGTCATTGTCCTGTTAAACATGGAAGAACTAGAAATCACCTGATTGTATCCGTAAAACTGCCATCGATCTCTCATCTTGTTTTTTGCAATCCCCATCCACTTTTGACTTTATCAAGACATCATACCGCTTTCTATCAATTTCACCACGAACAACTACAAATTCAAGAAAGACCACTTTCATAATTATATTTCCATACATAAACGTAAAAAAAGTCGCTCCAAATAGGAGTAAATCACAGATAAAGTTCAAAAGCAGAAGCAAAGGCAAACATTTAAAGCAGTTCAACGTACAAGACTGAAGGGTTATTACTCCGCCCTTGAGTTCATGGAAATACAGACGAGTACGATATCCACGAAAACACTTTTGCACATCAAGAGTACCTTGGAGAATTTGTTTTCTGACATCCTCCATTGCAGCAATCTAGAAATTACGATAATAATATCATTAAGTCAAAAAACACATTATTTAACATAAATGTCATTCTTTCTATTTTTAAGTAACAATAGATCAACCAAAGAAAATATCTTAACATAAAATTCCAACAGACATAGAATCACTTAAAAAGTACTCTTATTATTTCAAATGCAATCAACTATTCCACCATCATTAAACAGAAAGAGAACTAATCTAGGTATAACATGTTTTTTTTTTGAAGGATCTAGGTATAACATGTTAACTTGCCTGTCCTGCTCGAAGATATAATTTAGTATATCCAACTTGGTACATTTCTGGATGGATATGGAATTTTTGCAGAATGGCAACTGATGTTTTTAAAGGATCTCTAAGCAAGCTGTTATCCGATAGAAGGAAGGCATATCTGAAGCATATGCAGGCATATACACTTAAATTTACTAACAGCTAAAAATGAGAAGTCAGCGACTAGAATAATAAATCCAGGACACTGACCTCCCTGTGAAATCTTGATGTGTCATCCTCGTTGGATAGCCAGCCCTTGAGATCCTTACAACTTCTAAAATTCCACAGCACTGAAGCTGCTGTAAGACAATATCTTTCTCAAACATCCCAGGAAGTTTCTTATTATTTGGCTTTATGCAGCGAATGAAATGTGGAGCAGTGTTTTCCAACTGCTGCATTAATTGGAACAATTGACCCTGCGAGGATTTTTTGCCGCTTATATTAACAGTTGTCAATAAACAAATACAAACACCAACAACAGCAACAACAACAATATCCAAGTCTCATTTTGTCAAAAGATTTTGGGGTCGGCTAACATGAATCGATCCATGATATCAGAGCCAAAAAGAGAAGAAAGATACGAAGAATAAAAAAATGTACGGTAAAAAGGATAAGATAAAGATAAATATGAGAAAACAATTACATAAGAACATAAGAAAGATAAAAGATAAAAAGATAAAAGAGCATAAGAAAGATAAAAGATAAAAATAACAAAAGAAAATAGAAAGAAAAAGAAGATAAACGATAAAAGAAAAGGAGAGAGAAAGAGAGAAAAGAGATCAATCGTCCACACGAATGTGCGCCCTCCACTTTGCTCTCTCCAAAGTCATACTCTCATCCAACCCAAGAAGACGCATATCAATTCTGAAGAAATACACACACCAGGGATAAAAAATGAAGCAAAATATTTACCTTGAATTTTGTAGCAACACTTTGTCTCCGAACATCTGATACAGCAAGCTTGCTTGGAAGAGTTGATTTCTGAAATTGGTTAAGCAATAAACTGGTAAACAACTGAAGTAGTTCCGAACTGCATGATGAGAGTAGCTGAATAATATCTGAATGCAGAAGATCTCTGTTCTTTTCCAAGAAACCACTGGCGCTATACATAACCTGAAGAAAACACAGGTATATAATAAACTTATCCTGAATCATTAAACTTTCAGCACTGTCATTGTCCCAAGCAACCTACACTCAAGATAAATGGCATTCCATCCATCAAATTGTACTTAGAATGAATCACCTAGAAAAACTACACCCTTTCACTTTGTAGACAATGAAACTAAACTTATCAATCATCAAGTTACTTGTTTGTGTAAAGAAAACTACACTCCAGATAAATGTCACTCTGTCCATCAAACTGCATTAATGCATCATCTAGGAGCATGACATCTACGAACATGAAGCCCCTTCACTTTGTAGACTGTGAAACTGAATCTTTTTAATTAACAATTTACCACATATGCCATACCATGATTATTCTGGAGACAGATAGAATAAAATAAAATAATAAATGCTTAACAAAAAGTGCATAACGGCAGTACGGCACAAGGAAGCCTTATCTTACAAGTAAAACAACAACAACAACATCCAAGCCTTATTCCCAAACCTTATCTTACAAGTATGCATGAAAATTTGAAAATAGCTGCAATAATGCACAAATTCTCAAACAATCAAATTGAATAGTTGAAGATCAACTGAAACTATCAATAGTCTATTTGCAATTAGTAAATTAAATTGAAATGAAACCCCAACCAAGCGGAGGCTTTTTAAAATGAGTTTTTGATCAATTCCAAGTAACATTTAATATGAAAATCAAACCTCGCCAGCATAGTGCTGAATACTGAACAATGATCCTCTTTCTCCTTTTAGGCATGAATTTGTTTTCAAGTGCTCCTGAAGTTTATTGGCAAATGTCAAATCAGTCGCTTTAGGGAAATTCGACTCTTCATCCAGCAATGCAATAAGCCCAAATGGTTTCTACAAGAAGCCCAAATAAACTGTAAGCCAAGAAAGAAGTAGGTCCACATCTCATTCAACTAAAAACGTGTGACGGGCACAAAACATTAGCTAAATGAATGGATATCCCCATTCCCAAAGAAAGTTGACACTTAAGAAAGAACATCCTACTAAAGATATGTTGTGCACTGCAGCATTTTAATAACAGATACTACCTCCGTCCTTAATTCTTCTTCCCACTTTGAACTGACACGCTTACTAAAGTGGAAATTTATGGTTGTGGTTGAAGTAGAAAAAGGTGAAAGTAACACGTGTTTAATCACATATAGACTCATTACTTATCTTTCAACTCTCAAGTCTATAAATACTAGGGATATTACCTATCCTGCTATTATAAATTATATAAATCAATTTAGGAGCCCACCTGGTGTCTTGTTCTACTCTTCTCTTTTGTTTAACACATAGTTTCTGCCTTATCAGCTGGTGGTGGCTTAGCCTCCCACTGGACATTCCACCTCATATTTATTATCATGATTATATGCACTAAAGTTCTAAACATCCAGCAAACATTGTAATGATAATAAGAATGCATTTGGTAAGCAACTTAGTTCGGTAGAGTCTAAACATGAATACAGTCTAATGCTAGACTCAAAATAAAAATTCAGCTGGTAATATAACATGTAATCGAATAGAAGGAAAAACCTGCTCAATGAGATCCAGACAATCTTGGTTGTCTTTAAATTCAATTTTTCTCCAATCAATCCCATCCAACTCATATTCCTGTAATCAGCCCAGCAAGTAATGACACCATCATAATTTGTTTTAATCGTTTAGTTTAAACAAAGAAAGGAATTTCAGCTTCTTATTGTAACACATTGAATCGTTTATGTTAACGAATAACAAGGAGTAATGAAAGAGAATGCATTATTTGAAAGCTAAGCATGAGTTAATTTATAAAAAGGCGTTCATCATTATTAGCTACTAATAATATTCTTTCATTCAATATAGATCTTTCTTTTCGTGAGCTATACTAATGTGATGAAAAAAATTAATAATTGTTGGGTTCCCTCCTTAATTGAGAAGTTAATGAGAATTCTAGAATACTGGGGAGATGTCTAAAATTCTCTAGATGAGTGTGGAAACGTATTGAATGTTCTAGAACATTCTGGAGCTTTCTATAGAAACGTGGAATTATCTAGAAGCGTGTGAAAGAGTGTAGATTATTCTAGAACATTGTGGAGGTTTCTAGAGAAGTGTGGAATTCTCTAGAATCGTGCGAAAGTGTGTGCGCAAATCTAGAACATTCTGAAACACTGTGGAGTTGTCTAGATCCTTCTAAAAGATTAGAGAAGATTGTTGATACTTCATGGAAGACTCTAGAAGTGTAGTAGTGTATAGAAAGTTCTAAAGAAGCTTTGAGAAGATTAGTATAAATAGGGGTGAGACTCCTCTGAGAGAGCCTTGCGATGGCCTCCTTGAGTGATGAGAGAGAAGAGCCTCAAGGAGAGCTCTTGAGTGAGTGGGAGCCTCCTTTAGAGAGGAGAGTGAGAGTGAAGTAGACCCATATACAAAGAGTGAAGTGAGCTATCCGTTTACTTGTAAATCTCTCTTATACATTTCAATTGTATAATACAAAGTGATATTGTCAGATAGAGGCTTCGTATTACCAGTGTGGGTGAGTGTACAAGAGTCCTTTGAAGTCGTGATCCTGGAAGAGGTCTGGGGTCGTGTTTCCCCAACAATAACAAACCCATACTAAAGTCAAAATAAATGCCTAATTATTTATTATGTCGCTTTTCAAGCCCTAAAGGGGAGTCCAACACTCATACATACTGAAGCTCATCATTGTAATTTCACGTAAACGTTAGTGTTTGTTGCATATGTTCAGCTTCACCTAACAGCTTTTGTTTTTTTTAGACATAAACAGAGTGAACAGAGTAACAGCTGGGAAAGAGAAAGAACTAACACATCATATATGCTCACCTCTTGCTCACGTTTGAAAAGATGGCTATTGAAATGCTGTTGAAGCCTCTCATTTGCATAGTTTATGCAGAACTGTTCAAACCCATTATTCTGTGGATAAATATGAAATTAGTGGTAGAAGTGTCGATTGATAACCCTAACAAAATAAGAACACAAAAAAAAAAAACTAATTTACCTCAAATGATTCAAAACCATAAATGTCTAGAATATTGATGGATCTACCAGTATGCTGCTTTCCCATTGCAAGTGTTGTATTTATCTTATCTACTACCCACTCAAATAGGCTGCCATATATGAATTTTGCCAATGAGTCTCTTGAATCAATTGCCTGCATTATGATTATAAGCATTACATTTTGTTGATTCAGAGCCTAAAAATTAGTAACACACTAACACTGATATCAGAGCAAAAGTAGATGCTCCCATCTACATCCATATGGTGCACATGTAACACATACAACTATCAAATCATGTACCTGCTGGGTTGTTAATCTCTTGGAAACCTCATCCTTTCCAGCTTGTATTTTATGTGTTGATAATGATAGCATGAGGTCATAGGCACTGCAGCCCATTAAGCTAGCAGCATTCATAACAGCTGCAAATAACCGGTAAGCACACAGCCTATGAACAAGCTAGCTACTGAAAGAGCATAATATGTCCTAGCGTCATCGTAAAAAGCAGGTGTGTTGAATACATGATGTATTTGTAACAAAAGGAGGCTTTTGAACATCTAGAGCAGATGTAGCCCATCTAGTATCATGTTTATGCATAAACAAGACCTCTGCACGTGGTACAAACATTGAACTATATATGCCAACCCGGACATTTTCACAAGATGTGATACGAAACGTGCACATACAAAAGTGAATCAAGTCTTCAAGAGCTGATCTTGAGATAGTAATAATATACCCCCCCTAAAAAACAAGAGTCAATGTTTCAAGGAAGCACAGCTTTTAATTTTTTTGTAAGGTACAACTCTTGTATGTTCTCAATCATACTTATATTTATCAGTCTATTTGTTGGTTTGAGTAAATATATCAATGAAAGAGCTTTGTATAATAGAGCACCTTCATTAGCCACCGGCTCAACGTGGTTTTCATTGTCAATAACTTCAAATGAAATGTTTCCCAGCCATAACACTGCAGAAATCATCTGAAAAGCATGCAGTTGATCTCTTTGACAAATCTCGAGTCTGTTTAGGGCTTCCTAATGGAATGAAAGTATGGACCAATTAATATTACAATAGATCATCGGTTCTATAAAATAAGCTAAATAAAAAAAGTATATATCTAATCTATGAGATTACCATGAGAATCTGAAACTTTTTAGCGTCATCAACACCACTGATAACCAAGCAACTACTGTGTTTAAGATAGTTGAACTCAGATGCATCTTTTAACTTTAATTTATCTGCAAAAATATAGGATCGGGTAATAAGTAGGTACAAAGTACGAAAAGATAAAAGTTTGGGGTGCTGAAAGTTAGAAAAGGAAACATCATTAATAAACTTCCGATGGCTGGTAATAATCCCCAACACCCAACATCTAGCTAATGAAGCAAGGGTAACTATGTATGCTTCAAAGAAGATGGAAGAGATGAGCAAATGGAACCTCAATAAATACCCAGCGTATTCTTCTTACCTATGAAAGTAAATGAATGCAAACATCTTACCTCTGAGACCTGAAGGAGCCCCAGCACATAGCTGGTAGAAGATATGGTATGACCTCTCTCCCTGTGCACATTGAACCACTCTGGACTGCATATGAAAGATTAAGTGATTTTAATTTTTATAGACTAAGATTCCACACAATGATGGTAAAAATTTACTGATCAATATGTCATGGGGAGATAAGTAGTAAAAATCCACCTTTTCAAGAAGAACTGCTCATTGTTTGGGGCATCAATTGGCATGGAAAAGATTATGTAAACAAATATAAATCAGTGACATGAATGTTTACAAGTATTTAGCTTGTAGGCTTACAAGTAAATATATGCTTGCTTACAAGTATTTAGTTTGGCACCAGATATTTTTCCAGCTACACTAAAATGAATCTCAATCAATTTCCCCTGCAAAACATTAGAAGCATCAGTCAGAATAGCTGAACAATGTGAAAATGAAAACAAGCATGAAGAGATCACAACAATAAGCTCTCCTGATCTCAGTTATCACTTACAAAGCGACTGGAGTTGTCATTCCTAGACGTTTTTGCATTTCCAAATGCTTCTAATATACAGTTTGTCTGCAGCACTTCAGACTCTATACCGTTGCTGCCTCCACCAACAGCAGCCAAGTATTGCATAGCCATTTTTGCTGTTTCTGTCTTGCCGGATCCACTTTCCCCACTTTAAGATACAAAACGAAATTAGCTCATTTTCTAAAGCACAAAGTTAGAACTTAATGGGGCATTTGTTTCAAATACTACCAAAACAGCATCCACCATATATAACTTAAATAGATACAGCTCAACAAACCTGATGATGATGGACTGGTTTACTCCACCTGCAAGATTCATAGAGAAGAACAGAAGACAATAAGTGACATACTATTTATAGCCTTAGTAGAAAATAGATAGATGTAAATTTGTGTATCATCTAGCACCTTCCATCATTTGGTTGTATGCTGTGTCAGCAATAGCATAGACATGAGGACTATCCATTAGCTTATTCATGTAAGCTGTCACAAATTCGTCCCCACACACTTGGGCATCTTTGAAGGGATTGACTGCTACTAAAACTGGACCAGCTTTACTCTGTGCGAGCAGGGAAGCATAAGAAGAGTAGCAAAACAAGTGAAGCGTCTAGAAAGAATAAGTATTACATACATATATTGCTCCACGGATATATCTGGTTTTCAAGTTGTGAAGAACTGATGGCTCATTCAGATAACTGAGTTGTGTGAGATCATCAACTCCCTCAAGAATATCTGGATTTGCAGGTAAAAGGTCTGATGTGGGCACTGTCACAGCCTACGGGATTAAAGAAGTTAAATTAATGTATCTGAATGGTATGTGCTACAAACGCTAACTATTTTAAACAAAAAATAAACATGGGAAGATGAACTCACTCTTTCATCTGAGAGAAAAACGACAGATTTTTCTCCTGAAGTTGATTGTATTTTGCCCGATTCCCACAGCCCATTTTGTTGGCGACACCAAATACGAAGTTTCTGAAACATAATGCTAAAAACATTGACTTCTTACAGCCAAATAGATTTTGTGTGACTGCGAGGGAAGTTGAAAATCACATGTGGCATGACTAATCATATTAGCCAGTAGCCAGTATATGAAAATTAAGCACATTGCTATAGCCCAGTGATAATCTGAGCACCTTTATAAGAGGAGATGTGATAAAGGGATTCAAACCTGTAATTGGAATAGAAAATATAAAAAGATACATCCTACATTTTCAAGAAATTTATCAGAAAGGGGTTCCTCTATATTTTGATACAATAATATTCAGAGATTTGATGATCTCAGCACTTTAATAATTCACACTATGTTTTTTGTATCGCCGTTAGTTGAAGATCAAATCTTTTCTGAAAATGTCCTTCACTAAAGGTCATCATGACATACTCTCAATGTATAAGAAGTTCACAATGAGCAAATCTATCCATGTTTATCAAACAAAATGCAACAACGAAAGTAACAGTTCAACCCCACAGATAAAGAAATCACAGGGATAGGTTTGGATTTTCAATGAACGAGCAGAAACATAAATGTGGAAAAAAGAGCAATATTAGGTAAAAATACACGGAGTATATTCCAAAACCTTCTCTTTTCACCTTCTTAATGAAATAAGCAATGTTGTCATCCCGATCAAACTCTAGAAAGCGGGGAAGTGGTCCCTGAGGCAAACGTGCATGCATTCCTCCACCGTGCCCTCGCTCTAATGCCCCTTTAGAGTCTTCCATGAGATAAGGCGATTTAAAGGCCTCCATTTCCCTCATATCACAAAAATTGTTGCCTCTGAAACTTTTGACCTCTTCTTTCTTACAACCGACTTTCAACAATTTCTCCATACCAGCATCAGGAGCTGTAGAACTTTTTGTCAACGGTTTTCTGAAGGATGGTGGCCTAGTTCTAGCTTTAGGCCTTGGCCTCACGGGCAGCTCAGGCGGCAAGTCTCTTGTGTTCTCATTCCCCTGCCTTTGACGGAGAGACTCCAGCATTGCTTCCAGCGAGCTCCTAGCTTCAAAGGACGGGGACACGGACAACATTTCCCCCCAACAAAATTTGACAAACCCCCCCTCACTTTATTTATAGGTATGCTCAATTGTGAATAAATACTCGTATTAAATAAATTTAACAATGTCAGACATCAAATTCGAAGGATGTAGCTATAGAAACGATCCTAGAATCATGTTTTAGGATCACAATTTCAACAAAAGCCCGGCAAGTTGCGATTTCAGGCGAGAATGGGTTCCGCCATTTCATAAAACTGTGAAGTCTTCTCACGTAAATATTCGTGAAATCGGCAGGATGGGCTGCGTTTCCAGAAACCCAAATCAACGGCTCTCTTGTTCCGCCAAATTTGAATATTTACCAGAACACGCATGAAATACACAAAAATATTCTTGAAATATAAGAATATAGTTGCGATTCCCCGCCAAATTCTTATTATCGTCATCAGACGCTTATTATTATAATAAGAATAATAATAATAAGCTTGAATTAAATACATCCTTTGACCCGAAAGGCCGAAATGAAAGAAATTGCGGGAGTATAATTTATTTATGGAACTTTATTGCTCTCACCTCAAAGTTCACGTCCTTATGACCCAAAAGATAATTTGATTTTGTACTAATATTTGATTTGCAACCCAAAAATGATTGTATAGTGATTTGATATGCATATAATAATGATTCTGAAGATAGAGCGAAAAGTCACATATCATCCAAAATATGAGATTCCCAAAATCCATTTCTCTCTATTAGAATCTATCAATGCGATGCTGGTGAGGATCTTCCACCTTCATTCTTGAAAGTTGTGAGACATTTAACACTTTTTTGAAAGGGGCTTTCTAACAAATAAACATCGTTGAAGATATGTAATAGCTAGGAACCTCCCTAGTAATGAGAGTGGAAGCTTAGATACAACTTCATATTGTCTTCCATCTACACCTAGAAATAGGGTATCTCTTATTGTTCATTATCATCAAATCTCAAAGTGAGAAAGGTGTGTATAGAGTGATACCCACTTAGAGAAGAAGTGTTTTAGTGAGAATTGTTTTTTGTAATAGTTGAATGTAAGAGTTCGCTCATCCTTTTGTACTTCTATCCTTGATGTGGAAAAGAAGAATTTTCCAATTCCAACAAGTGATATCAGAGCGAAGTTGAGTTTTCATACATTTTTCTCATTTTTCAGAAACTTGTACAAATTAGAAAACCATGTTTTTTAAAGTTGCTCGAATCAAGATCTGATCATACCATCAAGTGAGGAACATTTTGAAGCATAAAAATAATATAGCAACTCAAAATATAGCTTATTATGTTTATCTGTTAGAGAATGGAAATACTACTAATTTTTACCACAATTACTAAGAATCTCAATCATTAGAAAAGTTGTCAAAGTCATCACACAGTTTTCTAGCATTGAGTCAAAATAAGCCTTCACGAAAAAAAGAGCAAAGAGAATATCATATATATATAGAGAGAGGGCAGTTCACATCAGGAGCTCCTGAAGAGAAGCCCCGTGCGGACAAGCCCATCAGAGGGTCTTCTCGGTGGATTTTTTTGATGAATTTTTTTTAACATGTTCTTCATCAAGTCTAGTTTGTCCATACCAAATTTCAGCTCAAAATTCGATCGGGAAGGCAGTCAAATAAATCATGGAAAACTATGGCTCATTCTGCGCACATATAAAGTGCAGTATGTTTCCAGGATTTATTTGACTGCCTTCCCGATCGAATTTTGAGCTGAAATTTGGTATGGGCAAACTAGACTTGATGAGAAAAATGCTCAAAAAATTTCATAAAAAAATTCCACCCGGAAGACCCTCTGATGGGCTTGTCCGCACGGGGCTTCTCTTCAGGAGCTCCTGATAGGAACGGGACTCTCTCTCTCTCTCTCTCTCTCTCTCTCTCTCTATATATATATATATATATATATATATATATATATATATATATATATACAAAACAAAGTGGAAACTTTGGCCATTTTCCCTCCAAAAGATATGAGTAAAAAAATGGCTCAAAATCGAGTCATTGATATAATAGACGCCATTGATTGTACGTGACATAGAGAGAATATAAGAGTCTTGTGATTCGGTATTGCCGTCTGTAATAAGCTACTCCATACTTGACTATTCAAATTTTAAAAATGCTGACTTTAATCAATTAAAAGATGTTTTGCCAACATGTCTATGATTATCTGGCATAATACAATTGTACAACACTATGACTTGTCCTATTGTCCATTTATCAATTGTGTTTAATGCATCAAACCCCCGATATTGAAATTTGGCGTATTAACCTCTGTGATTTGTAAATGAATCAAACCTCATGTGTTATTATAAATCATGTGCATACTCCCTTTTATGTAGGGATGGACCGGTCCCAGGTTAGGCTTAGGGTGGGACCGAGTTTGAGAAATGGAGGCCCGATACCAACGCGGCTATGTTCCGAGACTGGGCCATGACCGGGTCAGGTACTATATTTTTGTTTGGTTGTTGCTTATTAATTTAACCCCCCCCACCCCACCCCACCCCAAACACCCCCAAACCACCCAGCCCAACCCGCCTCTTACCCAAACCATTCTAAAAAAACAAAAAACAAAAAAAAAAAGGTCCGAACCGGTCAAGCCGGTTCCAAGAGGGCTGCAGCCCGAGCCCGTCCACAAAACACACCCGGGTCGGGTCCTAGGCCAGGTCTCGGTCAAACGGGCCGGTTCGGTACCGCACAGTGGCGATCCGGGTCGGGTACCGGACCAGTCTGACTGGTCCCGGTCCATCACTACTTTTATGAACCAACTTAATTGTCAAATAAAAGAAAATTGATTAACATTTTTATTTGATTTAGTGATTTTAACAAATTTTAAAATTGTTAAATTTATTCACAAATGTCTTTTGTACATGAATAATTATTCACAAAAGTTCGTCTAATATGTAATTATAGGTCAAAAAAGATGTCAATTCATTAAGAATAAAGTGACTTGATAGTTGATATGCACGCCACAAATTATCTCAATGTCCCAAAGGCTCCCACCTACGTTGGGGTAAATTGAGATCGGATGTTCGCAACTTAGTACAAAGAGATTATTTTTGGATGACTCATGGTGAAAACACGTCAAAAATTACATGAACTAACTATTACTTTATAACAAAGAAGCGCAAACTATTTAATGAGCCATTTTGTTTTACACCATCATATTTTTAAGCCAAAAAATAGTGAATATTTGGCTTCATTGCAATTGAGACAAAGATAACGGAATCAGCAACAAATCATCTTAGAAACAAACAGATTTGTTCAAGAAGCAAGTTATCACGAACAAAGCTTTGCTGATTCTTTATTTCACCATTTCAAGTTACACGACAATCCATAGATACCGGGAAGTAAAAAATAAAAATAAAGGATGCAATTCAAATGAATGTTCTGCATTCAATTGCATTATTGGCTTTCCTTATGAAATCATCGACATGCATGGTCCCCAATTCACCACCAAATCTTGATCTGACGGTGATAGTGTTGGTTTCTACTTCTTTCGGGCCTATCACAGCCATCAATGGTACCTTTTGCTTCTCTGCATTTCTGATCAGTTTTGACAAACGCTCACCGCTGCAGAGCTCAGCACGAATACCACTTGCCTTTAATCTCTTCACCGTCTCCTTACAAAACTCAAGCTGCAAGCAATGTGCGCATGTGTCAATTGATCTATCAAATAATGTTTCTATTCATTCATCATAAAAAGCTAAAAAGAAGGAAACACCCAATGAGAAAGGACGATTTGAAGGTAAAAAAAGTTTGGGTGAAATATTTGTTCATACTTATTGTATTATCGCTTGTATTTATATTATTAGTTTCAGGATCATTACATCAATCAAAGAAAAACCATACCTGACAATCTAACATCAACTAACTTTCCCTAACTATCGTTGATCCTATAGATTTGTGTACTTCTAACAATGTAAACATAAGCTAACCGATAAACCTTGCGACAAAGACTTTAAAAAGAAACCAAACAATATAACAATAACTCATAGGATAAATTTGTGGAACTCTAGCACCCGTTCAACCCATGGCGGCCGGTGGATCAGAAAGAGGTCGGATCATAGTACCGTGTGATTGATCTTCCATCACAGGCCGAACTCTCGTCCACCATAACCATCGATTTGTGCTTTCCCACATCTACATACCCACCTAAGAATGTAGATAGCCTTCTTGCTTCCTCGCTATGCAGCGCTGCCGCACCACGACCGCCTTCCCTAAATCCCAAGCCAAGTTGAGCTTGAACGATAGCACCTCACAAGGCCCCCAGGAGATCTTTGAACTTGAGCCTGGATGATAGTACCTCGCAAGGCCCCCAGAAGATCTTTGAACTACGGAAACTATGGACACCCCAAAGCAGATCGACATCGCCATCGTCAACCTCCCAACATCCAAACGAAAAGAAATTGATACCATTTCAGCGCTATCGACATCAAAGCAATCGGCGAAACACCATTGAAAGAAACTCGCCGAACAATTAGTCAGCACCAAACTATAAACCCTTCGTTCATTGCCGATATGATCTGTGACTCTCGAAAGTTGGCATTGCCCTTCGTTCATACTTATTGTATTTACTCATGGGGTTTTGTTAGAAATAATACAGGGTAATTTGAGTTTGCATCCTATTTTATTGTCCAAATTGGACTTTGCACCCCGTTTTAAAAAAAATATGTTTTCCCCCAAACCTGTATGAAAAGACAAAATGTCCTTCCATTAACAATTCGGTTGGCTTTCAACATATTCCTGATCGATGGGCATTTTTTGTATTTTCATACGGGGTTGCAGTGCAAAAATAAAGTTTTTTTAAAACGGGGTGAAAATTCTAATTTAGACAATAAAATGGGGTGCAAACTCAAATTACCCCAAATAATATTGCATCAAAAGTTAAAGACCAAAATAAGACCACATTTAAAACTTTCCAAAAAAGTAAATATATAGGAAATTTATGCCCTGTTACTAAGTGACTCCAGCATCACTGACATTTGTGCCATGTTATAGTCATAGTGACTTTAGCCACTACATGCTGCCATAGATGCCCACCGTCGGCCCAATGACCACCGCTGGTCAATTTACAAGTGCCCAAGTAACCTAATTACACAACTATCTCCGTCCGGTGCCGCCAGCCCTCAGCCCCTCTCCGCTCCCCAACCCCCTTCACTATCCCTCTCCTGCAACTTCCTCCACTCACCGACTGCAACGTCCCCAAACCTGTTTCCACCGTGCAACCCACCCCTCCAACCCTAGCCATCGTTGCTGCCAACCACCACGACTATAGCCTTCAAATGGAAACAAAACTCATCTCAATCACCGCACCCAATCATCGCACCCAGATGAGCCGGTGTTCTTCTTGAGCCTATCCTGCTGCACACATCAGAAAGACTATTGGAAGTTGGAATTGGCAACAGTCGTTCTCATTATGCCGGTAGATTCAAGACCAACTTCAGAGAACAAATGGTGAATCGGTGGGAACTCCATGGAACAAGGGAGCGGCAGTAACCTCTTAAATTTCATCTCTGCTTTTTTGCTGAGCTTTTTTTGCTTCCAAAGCTTGCCCTACTAACTGTGTGTCTCTTACTTGTAAGAGTAATAGAGTATCATTTGTCATCAATAGAGTTGGGATTGAAGGTCATATGTGTGTGTGTGTGTATATATATATATATATATATATATATATATATATATATTTAGGTTCAAATGAGAACTATGCTTAACGTGAGAACGTGAGAACTCTACTTTTAAGCAGATGTGATGCACTATATCATGTATATGTTGCACATTTTCATGTTGACAAAATATTTAGAAATCTGACACCACATTTATTTGATATTAGCACGTTTTGATCAAAATTTAAAAAGTGCAATGGATGAGCCTCATAGTGCACCGAGATGTGTTAAAAGTGCATGGTTCTCACGTTAAGCATAGTTCTCATTGGAACCGCTCCCTATATATATATATATATATATATATAGAGGAATGCTCCTGTCCAGACGTCCGGACAGGAGCCGCCGTCCGGCCGGCGGCGTTTGGCCACCTTCCCGGTGGACTTTTTTGATGAAATTTTTATGGCATGTTCTCCATCAAGTCTAGTTTATCCACAAAAAAATTCAGCCAAAAACTCAATCGGGAAGGTCGTCAAATGATTTTTGCAAGTTAACTGGTCCGGAATATGTATTTTCCGGACCAGTTAACTTGCAAAAATCATTTGACGACCTTCCCGATTGAGTTTTTGGCTGAATTTTTTTGTGGATAAACTAGACTTGATGGAGAACATTCCATAAAAATTTCATCAAAAAATTCCACCGGGAAGGCGGCCAAACGCCGCCGGCCGGACGGCGGCTCCTGTCCGGACGTCTGGACAGGATCTTTTCTATATATATATATATATATATATATATATATATATATATATATATGTTCTCTAGGGGAGTAAACCATTTGATGCTCAGGGGATCTATTCTCCCCTTTTCGGTGGCAAGAGATACTCCTATCATCAGTCATCTTGCTTTCGCTGATGATTTGTTCATATTCCTTAATGGCTCCTCCTCTTCGTTGCGGGAATTCAGAATATTCCTAGAAGCTTATCAAGAAGCTACTGGCCTACAGGTAAACCTCCAAAAGAGTACTTTTATTACAGGCAATCTGGTAACAAGACCGTAAAGACTAAATGGAATCCATTCTACAAATGAGAGTATCTAAGCTGCCTTTCAAATACTTGGGAGTCAAGATTTAATGTTCGGTCCCTTGCCACTCTTCAGGAAGCATACTCATGCAAATTGTGGTGGAATTGGAAGATGAGGAATTCTCTCTGGTCTCATTTCATGCATCGACGCTATCCTAGAGGTGATAACATGATACCCAAACTCCCTGATTCTCCCGTCTGGCGCAGAATTTGCAGCATCCATAACCAATGTCTAGAATTCACTCATGTCGCGACGGACGGCACTCCGATATGGTCTCTTTCTTCTGATGGGTCTTCTCATTAGCTTCTGCTTACGAGGGCCTTAGAGAGAGAAAAGGATCAACCCTCTCCTTCACACAAACATGGCACCCAAAACAGTATTCTTCCATTAAATTATTCTTATGGAAACTCTTCCCATAACATTCTTCCCTTTCCCAACAATTTGAGTAGGATGCAGACGCTCTTAGCTTCAATGTGTCCTATTTGCTTAAACGCTTCAGCGGAAATGGACGACTATCTTTTCTCTTGTGTATTTGCAACGGAAATTTGGAACTACTTCATGGGCATATTCCTTATACCCAGACCTGCTCCTAAAACCTCCCTTAGAGAGGTCATTTTTGCTTGGTGGTTACACTCAAGTAATAACAAGCTTGAAAATCTATTTCTGAAGATTCTTCCAGGTGCTATTGCGTGGTTCTTGTGGAAGATTTATGCTGAAGTTAACTGGGAGCTTCTCACGTTCCTTCTTCAAAACAAATCATTTCACGTGTACAATATCACATGTGGACCTGGGCTCATTTCTTACACAACACCAAATATGCAATTCAAATTCCCTTACTACTCCAAGAGCGCATGATCCCGCTTTGGTCCAGCAAACTCAAAATAGCCCGATGGTTTAAACTGCTCCATGGCTACAAAATTAACATCCATACGTCAGGTTACAGAAGCGGTGCACTCTCTTTTGAATCTCCTGGTCAATCTACTCTCTTATCCGAGCTTCGGGGGAATATTTACTATGCTGTCATGGACATGCAATAATGACTACCACACTTATACGATGGAAATTGATTCATTATCTAGTTTCATACTTCTAACCAGGCGACACATGACGAGTATAAGGGAAATTAACAAATTTGTTGAGGAGATTCTTGACATTGCTTGTTCCCATGGAGTAACTTTCAATTATTGTTAACTCAAGTTAATGTTGCTTATCTTTTATGTAATTTGATTTCCACGCCAAACTTTACTCACATTACTAGCTCTCTTGTTCTTCACCTTCGTATTCGAGGAGCTCTGATTTTAGACTCTCATAGCTTTCCTCATGTACTTCACACTTTGGGGTAAGGTTTTATGTCCCCCCCTTGTACTTTTTCTCTTAATATAGTAAAATATATATATACAAATATATATAGTCTCGTTCCTATCCGGAGCTCCTGAACAGAATTCCCGTGCGGACAAGACCATCAGAGGGTCTTCCTGGTGGAATTTTTTGATGAAATTTTGTAAGCATGTTACTCATCAAGTCTAGTTTATTCATACAAAATTTCAGCTCAAAATTCAATCGGGAAAGCAGTCACATAAATTTTTGAAACATATGGCGAATTCTGCGCACATATATTGCGCAGTATGTATCAAGAATTTATTTGACTGCCTTCCCGATCGAATTTTTGAGCTAAAATTGTATGAGTAAAGTAGACTTGATGAGTAACATGCTCACAAAATTTCATCAAAAAATTTCACCAGGAAGACCCTGTCCCTCTGATGGTCTTGCCCACACGAGGATTCTCTTCAGGAGCTCCTCATAGGAATGGGGCTCTTTCTCTCTCTCTCTCTCTCTCAATATATATAGTATGAGTAATGATCCTGTCCAGCCGGAGGGACAGGAGGCGCCGTCCGGCCGCAGCCATTTGGGACGGTTCTTGGTGGAATTTTTTGATGAATTTTTTTTAGTATGTTCCTTGTGAAGTCTAGTTTATCCACTAAAAGAATCAGCTAAAAATTCGACCGGGAAGGCAGTCAAATAATTCTTTGAAGATAACTGCGCCAAATTATACTTATAAAACGCAGTTATTTTCCAAAAATTATTTGGCTGCCTTCCCAATCAAATTTTTAGCTGAATTTTTTTGTGAATAAACTAGACTTGATGAGGAACATGCTCAAAAAAATTCATCACAAAATACCACCGGAAACCGTCCCAAACGGCGGCGGCCGGACGGCGCCACCTGTCCATCCGGATGGACAGGATCTTTTTCATATATATAGAGAGAAAGAGAGAGAAAAGAAGGGTTCTAGAGAGAGTTGAGAGCGTCTCTCACTAGGCTTCTCCTAGGTTGCTCTCTCTTCGCCCTTCAAGTGTCCGGAGCCACCATTCACGGTGGACCGCCGCAGCCGGAGCCCTCCTGGCTCCGGTAGGCTTTGTTTGGTTTTGGTCTGAGTTTTTGGAAACTTTGAAGGTACTGATTCACAGGTGAGACCCACACTTTTCTGGTGCGCTGGTGAACAGGAACTCCGGTGGTGCTGTGGTGCCTTATGGAAGTCCTCGAAGGCGGCGTCCTTTGATTTCTTGGTCGGAGGTCCAGGCCGGAATACAGAGAAATAAGTTTGACCTGAGTTGCTGTCTGATACATCCTCATGGGGTCCGCTGGTTCTAATTACTGCTGGTTTATGCTTCAGATGTTGACCGTTGAGTCTCGCTCTCGTCTTTCCCTTCTCATTCACAACCAGGGTAAAAATCCTCCGGTTACTGTAGCAGTTGTCGTCCTCGTAAGTGACGCCGGAAAGGTTGGGGATCTCTTACAGCCGGAGGACAGGTGGATAGGGACGCTTGTCAATGGCCTGTAGAGCTTCCAGAATGTTAAGGGTCCTGCTGCTTTCTTCGCTGCTTCACAAAGTTTGCAGATGGCCATTTTCCAAGTGGGATGGTGTTTTCCGTGGCAGCGCCGAGGGAGGGAAGTCCTGGAGCAGGTTCTCATGCGGCCAACCCGCCAAGCTGCTTCGTTACGAATCCTGACGCGTGTACAGTGACTGTTGGACAGGCTGTCACAGTCAACTTTCGAATTTTGAAGGGAGTGTTTGTGATTGCTTCTACTTTAAAAATGTGTTTTTTAAAGTGATTTTAGATAAAGTGGTTAATAGTAAAAGTTGGTAGCGTTTGAGAAAAAAGTGCTTCTGAAAAAGTAAAAGTTGGTAGTGTTTGATAAAGTAAGTGCGTTTTGTGTAATAGAAAAAGTGAAAAGCAGTTTAAAGCACTCATCAACCTGCTTTCAACTTTTAGCTTTTAAGTGTTTAATTTAATTTACGCAAAGTTGTCATTTGAAAACACCAATTTTGAAATCTGCTTGGTTTTCCGCGTGATGATGCGGCGCGGGATGGAATGCGACGCTGGGCTGGGCGAGTTGGGCTGATCCGGGAACTTGGTCATCTGGGAAGCTACTGCACTGATGGGCTTCGGCTGCAAGCTACTGGACTTCTTTGCTGATGCGGGAAGGCTGATGCTCCTTCACTGGACCAGACACCTGACTGCTGGGATCTGTTTTTGCTGGGCTTTGGCTAGGGACGGGGTTTTCACTGGTCCGAAACTAGTTTGGATCTGCTTTTTGATTTATTGATTTACTGTTTTTTACGTTTAAAAACTCACTCTCTGCCCCTTTCCGAAAGTTGGGGGGAGAGGGGCGTTAGTTACAATTTTTGCCTAGTTTAGCTAGCATAGATAGTTTTGATAAATTGATACATGGTAGATTCTATGGTACCCATAAGGTACCATACCTTTGTATACATGGACCAATGAGAATGTAGCAGTTGAATTATTTAAATCTAAATTAAAAATGATAAAGTGATATGGTCCAATCAAATGAATGATAGGTACGGTACCCCATATTTTAGAAAGGTACCGGAGTTGTCACCTTGATACATTGTTTTGTTACTTTTGAATGATTTTTAATATATACTTACCTTTTATCCAAAAAGATAGAGAGAGATTAAAAATGGAAGGGAAAAATTGTAGATGCTAGAAGGAAGTTGGGACGGGATGCGGAAAATGAAGAAAAGGAAAGAGAAAAGAAATGGAAAAAGACAAGTCAAAACTGCTCTTAACCTACTATATTGAATGTTTTTAAGTGACACTTTTATTAGTATATGGGTTTATATGATAGATTCATGATAGTTGACGGGCCGCCTATTTGACATTTTTTCCTAATAAGATTCAAATTTTAATTTTTGCGAGTAATGTTTCAGTCACCGCCACGTAAACCCGTAAGATGACAATTATGCATCTGACGTGGCAATTTAAGAAAACAAATAAGCATTTGGACCCGACCAAGTTGTTCAGTTCACTCACTCACCTGACAGACGTACTAATTAAAACATAAAATATACAAATAGTAATTATATCTTTATATTAGTTCTTTGATATACATATTATATTAATTTTTACTAGTTATATATACTACGTACTAATTATGTCTAGTTTATACTAGTAGTATATAAGAAGCTAATATGTATGTGTATGCACACAGGCTTACATATGTTTGTGTGCACATACATATATATCAGCTAAGACAGCTATCATATATATAGATATTATAATTTATAAATATAAAAATAGTTATAATAAATAGATTTTATTTTAGCTTATACAATTTTGACACTTTTTAACGGTTGAGGAGTGAACTGAAGTACTGAACAACTCGGTCAGGTTCAGGGGCTTATTTGACCCCTTAAGTTGTCACATCAAATACACAGTCGCCACCTTTTCAATTAATCACTGCAAATATTTCTTTCATGGTGCAAATAAAGCAGAATCAATTGGAATTGGAAGTAACAATAAGTAGTGCAATGAAATGATAATTATTCGCTTACAAATGGATCAAAATAAGGAGGAAAGTATGCAACATACCTGTGCGTTAGTCACGGGTATAAGGCGAGTTTGGATTGGAGAAAGCCATAAAGGAAAATCGCCAGCATAATGCTCTATTAGGATGCCGAAAAAGCGCTCTAGAGATCCAAGAACTGCCCGGTGGATTAAGATTGGGCGCTTCTTCTCTTGGTCTGTGTCCACATATGACATCTCAAACCTTTCCGGTAAATTAAAGTCCACCTATAGTCAAATAAGATTGCTTATTAGGATGTTTCTTATCCAGACTTTATTTTCCTGATGGATTTACAACAATTATGGGACCAGTAACATGCCTGTATGGTGGAGCATTGCCACTTTCTTCCCAGAGCATCTTCAATTTTGAGATCAATCTTAGGACCATAAAAAGCACCCCCTCCTTCATCTATCTGATAGCTCCACCCTTTGACAGACAAAGCATCCTGAAGTGCAGAAGTTGCTTTTTTCCATATATCATCATTTCCAACAGCTTTCTCAGGCCTAGTCGAAAGGTTGACCTCATACTTCGCAAAACCAAATTGTTGCAATATTTCCTCTGTAAGGTCTAGTACACCCAATATTTCATCTTTAATTTGATCCTCCAAGCAAAATACATGTGCATCGTCCTTGAAACAAACAAAAGAGGTGACATTAAAATGGAAGAAGGTTATGAGTTTCTTGAGTACCATTTCGTTACTCCTATCTAATATACAGAGTATATACTACTAGTCCATCCGGGTAGCTCAAGTGGTTGAGAAGGAGGGCTTAAGTGCCTAGCCTATGGCCATGAGGTTATGGGATCAACCAATTACCATCAATTGCTTGAGTCACCGAGATTTATCTCCTCCATCCAATGTCGGGCCAGCGATTGGGGGACGTCAATGGTGACGTACATCATTTTTTTAGTATACACTAATATAAATAATTTTTTTATATCGCTTCATGTTACACAGAAATAATGAGACATAAAGCAATTGTTAATTGCCATAGTACAATTTATTATCCACTATATGGTGGAAAACAATGCTCTTTGTTGGGCTAGAAACCAATTTATCACATTGTCAAAAAGTAATAACGTTGGCCGACTCCAAGATCAATGATAATTCATTCAAACATAGAAGATCACAAGACTCATAAAAAGTGAGTGGGTGAGTGAGAGAGAGGGAGTGTGAGAGAGGAATCGAGTGATCATACCTGGGTAAAGCCTCTTACACGGAAAAGTCCATGTAAGCTCCCAGACAACTCATATCTGTACACTGTTCCCAGCTCTGCAACCCTGATTGGGAAATCCCGGAACGAGTGTAGTTTCCTTTTGTAAACCAAAATATGGTATGGGCAATTCATTGGTCGAAGCTGATAAATCTCGTTCTCAATCTCCATTTGATCAAACATATTCTCCTTGTAGAAATCTAGATGGCCGCTTATCTTCCATAGATCTGCCTTAGCTACATGGGGAGTATATAGCAGATCATACCCACGTTCCATATGAATCTTCTTCCAGGCACATTCTATTATGTGCCTCACAATAGCTCCCTTAGGATGCCAGAATACCAAACCTCCACCAGCTTCATCCTGCCAGTTTATGAGAGCTTGAGTTTCAGATTCATCTTAGCTAGCAAAAGATCTGATAAAGGGTAAAGAGGCAATCAGAGAAATGATCAAGAAAGACGCTGATGTTTTATAAAATTGAAAGAACATGAAGAAACATACATGTAGAAGAATTAAGAGTAAGAAATACCCAAAGGTATTCCCCATCAAGATAACTTGCCCAACAACCTAGGACTTCCCAACGCCAAACATACTTACATTTATTTCTGAATACTTAATTCGCTAAATGAAGTCCTTGTTCATAATCTACCACAATGAGTAATTTATTGACTGCATTATATTGCTGGTTGTCTTTGACTTCCTTTGTCTCTATCATTGTCACCCGCTTCAAATATAGTCTTATCCTCAAGGGAAGAGGTCAAAGATGTGCCACATAAGTTTAAAACATCAACAACTTCTGTGCTCTTACCACTATCAAAATATCAAATATCTTGAAACGGGTTGCCTCATATTTTGCAACAATACGTACCCAAATTTCAGAAAAAATAGAGAATGTACACCTAATAAATGCCTCAAGTTGGACCAGTACAGAACCTCCTTCCTTTAACCAATCTGATTGATAGAAACCCCAAGATTCCAGAAAGATTTACAGAAAGATTAACAAGAAAACAACTGAGATATTATTGAAGAAGAACAAGAGCAGTAACTATGGCCGAAGCCCCCAATGCAACTGAATTCTTTATTGATGAAGAAGATCGGTTACAGAGGAGAAACAGTAACAAAGGCCGAAGCCTCCCAAAGAGAAGAGAATAACTCTCTAATCTTCCCAAGTCCCAAGACAGAAAGTCCAAAAGCCTCCTTACTACCTTCCCTCTACATCTATTTATACTATAATACTGCCTAAGCCCTTATTACAACTATTATTATTATTATTCTTTCTATTATTAATCTAATAGGTAGGTCTCTATCAATACTCCCTCCCTAAACATCCACCTTGACCTCAAGGTGGGCGCATAGTAGTCAATGGCGAGATATGGCGCGCGCCATATGCGCCATCGCCATGAAAAAGTTATCATCGCCATAGCGCCATATGCGCCATTCATATATGCGTCATCGCCATGCGCCATGATAAATGTCTTTGAGCCATGGAGATCGCCATGCGCTATGACAACTATGGGTGGGCGGTAGGAGACAATCAATATCTTCTGCTTCTTCTTCTTCTTTGCGCCTCTTCCTTCCCAATACCTGACTGGTTGATGGACTAGGGACTTCAGTACGAGATCTTCTAAAATGACAGAAGGCAAAGCGTTTGGATTCAGTTTCAAGACCATATAGGTAAAAGTGTCCACCAAGTCATCATTAGGATTTGTTGTTGACACTAGTAGGTCCTGGTAGATGATCAGTGAATAGCAACTCATGTTCTCAGCGCCATATTCCAACACCCAGGTGGCTGACTGAATTTCAAGAGGAATCTCTCTCCCCATAATCAACATTTTTAAAGCATAAAGAGCATTCAATCTTGGTCGCTTACATTGGAAGATGGAAGAATCAATATAAGGGCTGACAAAATCCCTGTAAATGCCATTTACAAGTACAAGGGACCTAAGAGAGGGGCTTCTACCCACCAAATAGGAATTTGCCACAATTGTTATCTCTAATGAGGTTTCATTTTCTTCCTTAATCTTCAGACCTTCAATATACACAAACCTTTCCCTGCCTTCCTGAGGTATAACACTTACAATTATAGCAGAATTTGTGTTCATATCCTGGATATCCACTTTAATCTTCATGATGCTTGTCAGTAAAACAATGTCATCCTCTGCTGCACTGTTAGTACCCTCAACAACATTCCACCAAACAACTCCCTTTCGGATATTCTTCATAGAATTCACACCGTCAGTTTTGATACCCTCAAAATGATTCAACTCTTCCAACAATTTCTTTGATGAAGGGTGGTGCACACAATCTATTAGGGCACCCAATTCCCTTTTATTAATTCTACCCAGCATTCCCTCAATATTCTCCTGCCATGATTCAATAAACATTTTTACTTCCACTTCCGCAAAGAATTTCTTGGTATCTATCAACCAGACACTGAGGTGGGCTTACTGTTTTCTTATCTGCAGAAAAATAATGACACCATACACCCACTCTTCCAGATTATGCATTATTACCTTTACACCCTTACTATCCAAAACTGTCAACAAGAGCTTAGATAGATTGCCTGAAAATATTTTCTGTTTGCCGCTACACAAGGGAGTATCATCAAACTTATCCTGCCCTTTCCAACTATTACTTAGTACACAAAGGTGCATAATTTCCTTTAGAACACCCAATCCCAGATTTGGAAATCTACCAATTCCAAAATTAAAATATTCTGGATTTGGTTTCAGAACAATTGCATACCTCTGACCCTCATAGGTAAAGATAGGTCGGTGATACATGCTTTCCTCCTCAGCCTTTTTGGTAATGATGTTCAGTTCCATGATAGGATCAGTGTGGTTGTTATGAGTTTCCTCCTGGCTGTAAGGTCTATTAGGTTTTGGCAGCTCGGACTCTTCCAGATTATCTGGTGAGTTACCTGTAGACTGATTAGTATCCTCGTCTGAATCTAATTCCGGTATTGAAGTTTCTGTAGGCTTCCACTCAAGATTTTGTGTTGTCAATGAAATTCCCCTCGTAGAAGCTTGAGCCGTCTTGGAAACCTTGGACAAAAGTTGCGATGACATCTGTGAACCAGTAAACAA